CATCTCATTTCGCGCTACGACACCAGTCGACACCGTTGGAAGTGTGAAATTGGAGGTCGACATCGTAAAAAAGATTTATGACCAAGATATTGTGCAACGGGGCCTTGACGTAGATGAATCGTCCCTTTCACCCTGCATGCCCTGCATGGGATCGCTCCTACGGTGGCCTTGCAAAGTCAGGGTAAGGCACGGCTCGGCCGCGCATCGGTGGGTCACTGATGCTATGCCCAAGGACATACCTAGTTCCTTTTGTTAGTCACTGAAAGTTCCTCTAAGAAGTCCATACCTACCAAATTGGTTAGCAGAACTAGCCAGGGAAGAGCAACAACGGGACGTATGACCAGCATGTGATGTCACCCACGCGATCAACTGCACCACAACTTGGTGCCAGTCGTCGCCATGTCAAGATATGTCGAGCCGCCTCTTGAAGTCAACGCGTCGATGCTACGACGGCGCATAAGCCACAACGACCTCCGACTGCGGCAGCCCCAAGGTCGCTACTAGTACGTCGGTGCACCAGCTACACATGGTCAGCTGACGGCGACGCGACCTGACGATGACATGCCAGTCGTCGACAAGTCGGTACCACGGCCAATAACAATGGTTTCTATGGTCGAGGCGGTTGACGTGTGGCACCAACATGACGGTGCAACGGTCGCCGTCGATCGAGACGGTAAATGCCAGCAACGCCGACCGACGTCGACAACTCGATGCAACGGTTACCTACGGCACCATTCACGGTCAAGATGGTCGCTGGCAAATGTCTACCTGTCGCTAAACTGTTGGTACATCGATACTCGACTTAGTTGATTCACCGGCCCTTAGATGGCTGTGATGGCTTGAACCCGTCGATATGAATACGAACTCGTATGAGCCGCGATCGGCCGCTAGCAGCATACGTACCAATGGAATACTCCAATATACCATCCAGACCTATACGATGGCGCTCACGGTTGAGATGGTCACCGGTCTACGCCGACAAGCGCTGCAGGCGTCGCTGAGAACGGCGCTCTCCGTCGATACGATTGACGCTCGACATTGTCACTTCTGGTGGATCACGACGCCTCCCGTCGTCGACATGCTAGCACAACGATGGACAATCTGGATTTAGCTGTTACGACTGCCGGCGCTTGCATTAGTGCCGCTGCGATGCTTGACGACACGCGTACCACCGTCCGACACTGGCTACCAAGACGAGCATCGGTTGCTGCGGTCACCTGCGATACCATACCAGTGCTCACGACCGCTCGCCCGAGCCAGGGGAAGAGCGGCGGCAGCAAGTATGCAAGGACCGTCGATTGAAGGCTCCGACAACCTTGTGACCGCCAAGCGACGCTGCCTAGTGTGCCCAAGGTCGTTCTCGACCAAGACAAAACGACCGTGCTCGACTAGGACACGGTAGTCGACGTCGCCCAAAGGTTCCACACTGCGCGACCATCGGCGACGACACATAAATTTACGCCACGGAGCCCGACGATGCGGCCGCACGGCCAATGACACAAAGGCTTTCAACGACACGCCGTGGTACCGTGACACGTGTCGTGAGAACGACGTCACCAACAAGAACCCGTCGAACCGACAATGACGAGACAACCAATTCCTCCCGGAACGGTTGCGTCTGATGCTCAGCTCCTGGTCCTACGGGTATGTCTCCCTCGCGACAAGAAAGAACATGTCATTCACGCATAAGATCTTATTGGTCCTTCATCTCGTTGCTCGTGCCGTTGATCGTGTACGAGTTCATGTGACGTCGTCGGTACCGTAAAAAGTCGGTAAACATCTCAATGAGGCTTGGCTGGTCGCTGAGGAACGACAGCACTTCGTGGAGCGGGACAAGCGCTTTCGGGCTGCGAAACGACCGGTAGTGCAACTCGTACAGTGCCGTGAGCTCGTCGTGCACTTTGGTCTCGTCGTCAATGGAGCCGCAGTACATGGTGAGCACCTTCTCGATAATACGCGCGGGCACGACGCCTTCGTTGGCATACATGGCAATCAAGTCCAACACAATGTCCTTCATTGTGCTGCCCGTCGAGTTGCTGTTGGTGATGCGGAGCGCCTTGACCGTGCCGATAATGTCCCGCATGTCGACCACGTCCGTGTGCGTTGGGTCAAACGATGAGTACATCAGGTTAAAGTTGGGCACGCCAAAGCTCGGGTACTCCTTCATAAAGAGCTCGCGGCCTACAGAGAGAGAAACGTGACACGCCACGCGTTTCTCGTTCGTACACTGGTCGCGCGTCATTTCAAACGGGTTGGCCACTGCATGGCGAACGCCCCACTCTGTGATTTTATCGAGAAGCAGTGCGAGCTCCTGGAGCATCGGGCGGTTGAACACACTGCGTCGAATGCTGTCGATGAGGAAAAAGATCTAGTCGACAAAAAGTGGACAAAGTTGGTCCACGTTACGTTGCATAGCGGACGTACGGTCTTCCAGCGCAATTGGTACTTGCTTTGAACGAGCTTGGTTTCGATTGGCGCAATGCGCGGTGGCCCGAGCGACTTGATGAGCGTAATCTCGCGCAGTGCCTTGGCCGGCACCTTGTCGTGGTGCACGTTTGGATGCCGCCGTAGCTCGCGCTGCTTTTTGCGCAGCATTTTCTGCAGGTTCTCGCGGCCAAGGCGGAGCTGCTCCTGGCCTTGCTCCTGCTCTACACGGCGGTCGCTCTATGCTTTACATATGGTCGAGTGTCTACCAAGCTCGAGTGCCGCCTTGAGCACGTCGACTTGCTTCTCGGTTGCTCTGTCTACGCGCTTGAGATGCTCGTCGGCGAGGACTGGCTCGGTGAGGACGCTCTTCTTGGGCGAGACGCCCGAGCTTGTCGCGAGGTGCGTGTTGTGAAAGGCGAGCTTGGGGCCGGTCACAAACGCTGCGTCTTCGGGCCACATCGCGGGCGACCCCGTCAACTTGGGTGCGAATGCATTCTCCGTGTGGAACTTGCCGAGCACTTTGAGCGGCGACGGCGCATTGTACTTGGTCGTCGTCAGTGGCGGCACCGTCCCCGCGGTTGTTTCCTGTGCGAGCAGTTGGATCGTACCCCGGGCGCCATACCTACGCCCTTAGGTTTCATTGCAATGTCATATCTGCACTCGCTACCGCTTGGTTTTGGCCGCGAGGTCGCACGTCGGCACATCGGGCACGTTGTTCCGGCCAACGTACCACGGCGTCACGTTCGCTTGCGCGGTTTCTTTGATGGGCGAGACGACGACGACCGGCGGTGTCGCCAGAAGACTCGGTGCGCTCGCGCTGGAGCTGTAGCAGTTGTAGCCCTCGCGACTGAGTCGGAGGCGTGACCGCAGCTCGTGTCGATCTTTTGCAATCGGCGACGGCAAGTACGTCATGCGCTGCTTGAGAAACTTGTCTTCGAACGACACGTTGTACAAATCCGAGATGCGCTTCGAGTCGCGCGACCGCTGGAGCATCGTCGCGTCGTCTTCGGGGAGACAGATCGTTTCCCGGCACGACCCGTCGAGGATGTGGTCGATGCGCTCGTTCACTGTGATCTTGCGACTCCGCACGGGCGGCATCATCGGAACGAGCGCCGGTCGGTCGGTCGACAGCGCAGAGATGGTGAGGCGGTTTCACCAAAAAGGCGCCGGGCCGTTTCAATACAAGAGACGAGCATGGTGAAGTTGCTACCGTTGGAACCTGCGAGCGCCCCCATTCGTGATGGCAAGTGACCAAAGCTCACGAAACCAAGCGTGATCGACCCAAGCGCCGGTGCATTGGCCAAGCTGAGGGTGCTATAACGGCGTGTGTGAACTGTTGTATCGTTCTTCTTCCGCCGCCTACCTCTTCCCAAGAAAGGATCACAGAAAGAGAAGAGTCTCTCCCAACGGGCGGACCGGTTGGTCTGCCTTCCTCAACGGGATTGACCACAAACCAATTGGACGGTCAAGCATCAAGCGACATGGGCACTTCCACGAACCAAAGCCAGGCGAACGACAAGGCGTCGCGTCTCGCGTCGGCACTCTTGACGACGGCAGAAGCACTCCACGAGGTGCAAGGCGCCTTGCGCATCGAGCCGGACGACAAGGTTTTGGTGGTTGCGCAGCGTTTCAATACCGCTTTGGAGGAGCTTTGCTTGACGCAGTGGACGATCGACAAGCGCAAGCTTCGCGACAAGAACACTCTATTGACGCGACTGCCCGTGCTGGATGACGTCCTCGCTCAAGCGCATCGCGAGGTGTCGGCGACGGTGGCGAACTTGACGGACGACGAGGTTGTGGCGCGTGCCAGCGGCGGCGTCATGCTTTCTGGCCACCCGCTTGGCTATTCCAGCCACAGCACGTCGATGCAAAAGGTGTTGTTGTCGCCGCCGACGCCCTGCGTTCTGACGACCACACCGTCGACACCGGTACTTTTGAGTCACTGGTTTGAGTCTGCGACGACCGCCAATGCGTTTCGCCAGCGCATTCAGGCGCACGGGTGGTCGTCCGCCGAGACGCCGGCGCCGTTGCCCACGGCGGGCGACGTGACGCGCCTGGTGTATGTGGCCAGCGCCTACGTCCCAACCGCCACGTTGACGATGGAAATAGATGCGATGCGCCTCTCTTCGGACGCGGAGTGCGATGCACAGTCGATCATCGACGCTGCATCGGCACAGGCCTTTCTCATGGCCTACGGGTCGCACGTTCACGGCGGTCGTTTTGAGCTTGGTGGAATCTTTTGGAAAACGACTTCTCTCTCAGTCGATGCTGCGATGCCAGTCGACGTGCTGCGACAGGTGCTATCGGAAGCCGAGTTGCGCGACCTCTCGCTCGCGTACAGCGACTTCACTTACGGCGCTGGCGTCGACGTTTACACGGCACTGGCGTCGGAACACAAGATGTGCGACATCACAACGCAGCTGGAGTACACAGGACCGATGGCGCCCAGTGCCGACACGTTTGCTGAGCGCCTGGCCGCGGACAAGACCACGTGGCGCGTGGTGGATCGACCAGCGTCCCTGATTGGTGTCTGGGTCCTCCTCCGAGCGACAGGGCACGCGCTTGCCGCAGATCTTGTGCGCACCGCCTGGTTGGAGCTGGTTGTGCCCGGGACAACTCTGGTGCTCGAGGCGGCGGTGCACGCGGCCCGACTCGATCAGTGGCTGCACGATCCGACATTTGGGAGTGCCACCAAGAACATCGCTCTCCCAACGACCTCCTTTGCGATGCGCGTCGTGCAAGCGCAGGAGCATGTGGCGACCACCGACGATCCAGACGGCGCGATGCTGCTGGATTTGGTGCTACTATTGCTTCGCTGCGAGATCGAGCTCGGTATGAGCCTTGTCGGCGACCGCTTGCAGGCACCAAGCCTTATCACTGCACTGCGCCGCTTTGTTACAGTGCACGACATTGCGACGGTCGCGCGACTGGGCGCTCTTTTTGACGCTGTGCTGGACGCTCGTTTGGCGTCGGCGTCAGTCGTGCTCGATGCCACGGTTCGCGAGCCGTTGCGCCGTGCGGTAGCACTGGCGACGTTGCGCGATGTGAGTGTCACGTCTCCCGGTACGGTGTGGCGCAGTCCCACGCTGCACATGGCCGATGTACCGGCGGCCGGCCGCTTGCTTTTGGATACGTTTCAAGCGACTGCCCTGCCCGACATGCAGCTGCTGACGCGTCGCCTCGGCGCGATGCTGTTTCACAATGGTGTCGAGACCCGCGCGCCGCAGCTCTGGACGATTGCAGTGTCGTATGGTTGCCAGAAGGATGGCTTTGTGGCGCCACTGTCGCTGGAATGCGTGCGCACGATGCTCGCTGCCATGCAGTCGGCTCTGGACAAGCGTATGGCTATTGCCACTGACAGCTCGGACGACGACATACCAGTCGACCGCTTTGCGTCCGTCGATGGTGGCGAACACGACGAGCGCGTGCTGGGCGGGCGTCCGATGCAGGAGTTTCTGACGGTGACGCAGCGCCCCACGGCGGCGACGCCGCCTACTGACCGCCTCTGGTTTGCGCTGAAACACCGCCTCAATGTCGCCCCGGCGTTGTACCTGTGCGAGGCGACGGGCAAGCGTCTCACACGTCGGACGCGCGTCGCGAACGGACCCATTGGTATGGATGAGTTGCTGTCGTTGCTGGCGTCGCGGACTCCTGTGGCGCGCGCCGACGTGTACCGCCACTTGCTCGACCGACGCTTCCTCGTGCCGTGTGTCTACCCAAGCGTCGACAACGATATGCTGTTCCTCGATGCGATCGGGTTGGAGCTTGTGGAGACGCGCCTCGAGCGCGGTGTGACGTCGTCGCTCTTGCGCAACACGGCGGCATTGCGCGTGGCGATCGTCTCGGAACGACCGGCCAAAGCGAGTGCCACGCGATACTGGATCCAGAACGTTTTCCACGTCAACTCGGTGCAGTGTTTGGACCGGGGGCGCGGGCGCGTCACGGAGCGAGACGGCCTTGTGGAGCTGGGTTGGGGCTTCGTGCACGATGCGACCGATGCGGCGACCGCCGTGGTGCTGCACGTTGTTGGCGACTACAAGCCGTGGATGCCGCTGCTGGCGGCGTTTGCCGATGTACTCTTGATCGACGCGGGACCCGGTGCGGTGCGCGCGACTCCTTTGGCTCACGGTGTTGCGCTGCACTGGCGCCATGTCGACGACGATGACGAACAGCTCGTGCATGACGAGGCAACGGCGACGGTGACGCTGGCGTGTCCCATGAGTGCTACGTATGCTGTCCTCACCGACTACCTCTTGCACGAGCCGTGGCCGACGTCGCGGATTCCGATTGCGATGCTGCCGCTGCCACTACACGTGGGCTGTCTATCGAGCCTTGCGCCGACGGAGGCTATCGACGCGGTGGCAGCCACCGACTTTGGCACTTTGCGCACGCATACGCTCCAACTCCAGCGCTCTTTTGTGGAAGAAGTCGCGCTGCGCGTGGCGCTGCAGCGGGAAGCGAGCGTGCCCGAGCAGCAGCGTCTCCGCCAGCAAATCGCAGACCACTTCGAACTGCACAAGCCCATGGCCCATCGCGCGCGCCACCTGCCGCTTTTGCGCTACTTTGTGTCGGTGCTGGAGCAGCCGTCGGCGGCATCTCGCGAACTGCGGCTCGTGGACTTGGACCGCCGCCTCGCACGCAGCTGCGACGGCCTCTCGACGAGCGCGGAGAAACGTTACCGCGACGCGGCCGTCGCGCGAAGCAACGACCCTGAAAACCAAGACTCGCGGGCAGCGTACGCCGATGCGCTGCAGCACTGGAGCCTCATGGTGACGGGGCTCGAGCACCTCTGGCGCGAGCTTTCGCATGTATTTGCGGCTGCCCCAAATGCGTTGCCCGACTTGGCTGCACTCGCCGCTCAGCACTTGATGGACGGCTTTGCGCTCGAGCTCATGGACGGCGATGCGGGCAATGTCAACACGATGTGGATCCGCGCGGTGCTGCAGCGCTTGGAGACAGCGCTGCCCCCTCGTAGCCGCGTGTTCGTGCTTTCGGTGCTCGGTGTCCAGTCGTCGGGCAAGTCGACGCTGCTTAATGGCATGTTTGGCGTCCGCTTGAAGACGAGCGTCGCTCGATGCACGCGCGGCGTCAACCTCCAGCTGCTCGCATGCGCCGACGACTACCGCGACCTGTTTGACTACATCTTGCTCTTGGACACGGAAGGCATCCAGTCGCCCGAGTATGTTGGCGTCGACGGGACGCCGTGGCGTGACAACCGCATGGCGTCGATGGCGATTTTGCCGGCGGACGCGACCATTGTGTTGACGAAAGGCGAGGCGACCAAGACGATGAACGACATGCTTCCAGTCGTGCTCTCGGTGCTGGCGAATTCGGCGCTCGCGGCGGCATCCGGAGGTCGCCTCGCCACGCAGCTCTACTTTGCGTTCAATCAAATGGACGTGACGATGACCAGTAGCATGCACTCGAGCCTCGACGCGCTCCTCGACAGTCTGCGCGCCAGTGCCAAGCAGGTGGCGGTTGTGCGTCAGTCGTCAGCGACGGCGTCGTTTCTCGATACGTTTTGTGCCGACACAGACGTGGTGTTCTTGGGGCTCAACAGTGGCATGAGCGACCCGCCGGGCGACACGCCGATTGCCGACTATGGCGAGCGGCTCGTGCAGCTGCGCGACCACATTTTTGCCCAGGCGGCACCGGCCCGTACGTTTGGGGCGCTCAACGAGACACTGCGGCTTGTCTGGACGTGCCTTGAGAGTGCGAATTTCGAGCTAGATTTTGCCTCGGCCCACGAACGCATGGTGTACGACCGCCTCGTGCGTTGCATGACGCGGCACACACAAGCCCTTGCAAGCATCTACACGGCGTCGTTTGAGACGGTGCTCCAGCGCATGAGTGCCGACAATGCGACGACGCCGCACGCTAGCCACTTGAACCACCGTTACGAGGCACTGCTTGAGCAATCGGTGGCGTACGACGTGCGAGCGCTGGACAGCGTCGTGGCCAAAACATTGGCGGACAAGGCGTTTGCCAAGTGGGCCACCGCCATGACGGAATCGTGGGCCGACCAGAAGCGCCGCCAGGCAGCGCACTCGACGCGTTTGGTCGTTGCTACGGCCGAGCAGCTCTTTCAATACGAAGCGTACGCCAAGGCGTACAAGACGGAGCTGCAAGACGCGCTCGTGGCGCATCTGGCGACCGAAGGAGCCGAGGCCACGCTGGCCGCCTTTGATGCGACCTTTGATGCGGTCGTGTGCCGCGCCGCCGCCAAGCACCCGCCGCTGGCCCCCGACGTCCCACGCCTCGTCTGCACGGCATTGCACAACAATCACGTGCTGACGCCGGACGAACTCGCCCTAATCAGTAAACCCAACGACGAAACCAAGATCAAGACGGGGTGGCGCCGGTACATTGATCGGTGGTTTACAGCCAAAGAGCAGCGAAAGGCCCAGATGATGGACGCCGTGCGCGACTGTGTCTTGCGCTGCATCGCGGACACGGATCGGTACGGCGACGAGGTCGTTCTCAACTGCGTTTTGGAAGGTATGGCGATGCTGCACTCGCTGCAGTTGCCGCCCGACGACCGACTTACGGGCTTGCGCATGCTCGTATCGATGCTGACGACGCAGCTCCAAGATCGGCAGGCTCGCTGGGATGCGGTCAACTGCATTGCGGTTAAGTTTGGCGCGTGCAAGCAAGAGATGTGCCAGTTTGCGACCAACTTGTGTCGCGGCCAGAGAGCCGCCAGTCTCTTGATCTCGACGCTCGACGAGTAGTTGGTGATGAACCTCGGGGCAGCGTTTGAAGAAGAAGTCGTTGGCGTTGTTGCCGCGGCACTCAAGCACGCGTACTGGGTCCAAAGCGCCGACGCGATGCAAGCAGCGCTGGACCATTCGCTGCTGATGCTGCTGCGGCAACACGAGGTGCCCGAAGTGCTGCGCTTGCTAAAGGAGCCAACAGAACATGCGACAAACGTGACGACGAACCTCATCCGCGCGCAAGTTCAAAAGAGCTATCTCACCGTCGCCGCCAAGCTTGTCGCCGCAGTCAAGGAAGGGATTCTGGCCGCTGCCGCCTCAGCGGAAAACGCGGTCGAGTCGCGAAGCACAGCTTTTCTCCAAGAGTTGTGTCTCGTACTGCAACGCCGTCTCAAGTGCAGCGGCACCAGCGTCCTTGTGACGAGTCTTCCATCCGGGAAGGCAACCGTCTTTGACTGTGATGCTCACGGTCCAAGCCTCTTCTCAGTCCATAACGATGGACGCTCCCCGCTCAACGTACCTCAGAGCCTTCTTGCGCGTCTCGAAGAACTGAGTTGTACCCTTAGCCCCTCGACAGTGTGGAGCTCGATGATGGCGACGCGGACCCTCGACCTCATTCGCAACGAGGCGTATGGCGCGGTCGACGGCATTGTGCCGCGCTGTGGCCAGCCATGTCCGTGGTGCAAGTGCCCGTGCACGAAGGCTTTGGGCCACGCGTCCACGGGCAATGCAGACGATCTACTGCACGACACGCCGCACCAGCCCGACGGCCTCGTCGGAGTGCGTTACGTTTATTCGAAACGTATCTCGGCGAGAAGCTGTGCGGAAGTAGTTGTTCAAGATTGTGGTATGCGGCATGATGATGGGAGCTCGCACCGTTTCCGAGACTTTGAAACCGTCTATCCGGGGTGGGCGCTGCCGCGCGTGACGCAGCGCTTGCCGCTGCGCGAGTACATTTTCGCGCACTGCCATGACGAGCTCGTCGCATGGCACAACGTGCGCAAGTGCGAGAAGATTCCCGCCTCGTACTTTGCCCACGATCTGTGCGACATTGAACGTACGCTTGAACGCTTGATGCAGTAGTACATATGTAGTGTGTGATCTGTCATGATGACGACCACGTAACCGTCGTAAACACGAAACTGCCGTGATGCCTATATGCAATGTATATATGAAACTGCTATTATTCATTTCAGTGTGTTTCAGTTAAAAGGACGTGTAGGAATGGAGTGCTCCCTGGAGTCTAGACCATGCACGATATGAAGCTAGAATTGAGACGCTCAATAGTCGTCGCCGCGCGATAACACCTCCTTGCACGTCGGCCTACAAGGCGGCACGATAAGACAAGCGCACGACATATCGATCGATGTACTTGAGAACGAACGTGTGCTCGTACTGCGCCGTGTAGCTACCACGGACATCCACAAGCGGCGGGTATTTCTAGCAAGAAAAATTAGTCGATGACTTCGAGATGAAGAAGCAACCGTCACGAGGCCGCAGTCGACAAGATGGTTGAGCGCGACCATGTACTTTTCCTGCTTGGCGCCCTTGGGGTTGACGTGCGCCGACCCGCCGTCTTCGCGCTCAAGCCAGCGCCGACAAAATGCCAGCGTCCCAAACGTGCGCGTAATGTGCGAGAGAAGCTTCTTCGCGCGTGGCAGGCGCAGCGGCACGCGTGGAGCGTCGATCGTCTTGGCGTAATGCGAACATTCCATGTCCTCGACGACGTAGCCACGGCCGGTCGAGCCAAAGGTTTCAATCGCAAAGATCTCGCCTTCCTCCATCTTGGTGTCATCGTCGTCTTTGACTACCGGCACGCTCTTGCCCGCGTGGATTTGGTACGGTGCGATCGAGTGGCCGTTGAGGTTGCGAATGCACTTGACGGGATACGTCTTGCCTTCGATCGTGACCTCGTACGACTCCATAACCTCTTGGATAACACCGCCGATCTCGCCGAGGCGTGCGTCGATGCCGGCCGCGCGAACACCTGCGTTGGTAGCAGCCTTGGCAGCCGCAAGGAGCGGGTCAAACTGCGGGTCAAACGCAATTGTGAACGCCGAGTCGATGATGCGGCCGTCGACGTGCGTGCCAAAGTCGATCTTCATCACGTCGCCGTACTTGAGGACCGTGTTATCGCCGCCGTTGGGCGAATAGTGGGCTGCCACGTGGTTGAGCGAGCACCCCGTTGGGAACGCAATGCCACGCTAGCGCCATGGAATGAGGCGTCAATGGGATAAACATAGAGATGCTGTTACCTCGAGGCCGGCTTCTTGGACGAGCTCGCGGTTTTTGTTTTCAAGCGACTCGCAAAGGTCAATGAGCCGGATACCAGGTGCTATCATGCTTTGCGCAAACTTGCGCACTTGACGCTGCGTCTCGGCTGCGTACCGTAGATGATCGTAGAGCGCCTCGTTTTCCTATCCACATGCCAGCGTCAGCGCCGTGGTGTCGGCTCACATACGACGTACACGCTCGAGTGCACGCAGCTCTTCGGACGTCGTGCGAAACGTGTTGAAGTCGCCCCCGTGTGGCTGCTCCTCGCCGCGCGGAAACGACCCGGGCGAAAAAAGCGTTGCGACAGGGATCGTCGGCGGTTCGGTTTGACCATACTGGACGTAGCTGTCGGTGAAGCCATCGATACCGCGGACTGGCGGCCGCTTGGAGCCAACGGTGCTGGGTGCCGCCTTCTTGGTCTTCTTCTTCTTCTTCTTCTTGGGTTTGCACGAGTTCACAATTACGTCCTTGGGTGAGGATACGGCGTCCGTCATCTCGACGGTCATCGGGTGGTCTGTGGCGATGGTCATGGTGTAGGTGGTGGTGAATGGGGCGCTGTGAAAACGAAAATGAGCTGAGCTCGTTGCTCGCTGTAGCAAGTGGAGCGGCGACCGATCCAGATCGATGAGCAATCCAAGCGGCGTGCATGGTGCCAACCAACATCGGGTGGCGCGAAAACGACCATCAGTCCTGCGCGCAACCTACATTCTTCCGGGGGTAGGTTTGTTTCGTTCGGGGTTAGGGCAGCTTCGACACCAAAGTTGCGGGCCTGCCAAGTCCAAACCACGGAGAAGGACACCCGACACGCCACATTGATGCGGTGCCACCGATGATATGGAAGGCTAGGATGCTTGTTGTGGGATCTGCGAAGCGGCAAAACAAGCTGCATGGGCATGATACGTCGTCTCTACCGTTCTCTCTACATATCCTGCGCATTCGCGGTACGTAGGATTTGAGTGGTGAGATAGTGCTTTCCAGTGGCAAGCGAAAATGACTGCATGATGGACGTGTTGACTACCACCAAGAGCTCCAGCTGTGTGGTCTCTCGGACGAGCGCAGAAGGAGATTGCTAGCTTCTACGCAAACGGCTTACTACTCGTCGACAATGGTCGCACCGAGCCAATGATATCGTAGCGCATCGTGTCAAACACCAAGGACTAGAGACGGAGCGAATCGAGTACTAGTTGTGAAAAGTCTAGCCTTGCGATTGAACGTGGACGTTATCAACGCTTTCGCAGCACTGTTGCATGCCCATCGTGTTGTGTTTGCGTACCAAACAACTCGTCGTGGAGCGCCGTTCTGAGCTAAAGCTGTGGGACTCCTATTGCCCTCATCGCCTGCTTTTTATTCGTCGCACGACTGCGTCGCGACCGCGTTACGACGGCGTCTCGACGGTCTCACAACTGGATCACAGCTACCTCGCGATTACCGCCCAAGAACCTCCCAAGATTGTCGCGACCTCGTGAGATTTTCGAGACTAACCGTTCCCGATCCTTCCCTAAACCTTTGGTTTTGCCGAGCCGTCTCAAACTGTTTACTGATGATTTCGTGGCATTTTCCTTGTAAATTTGGGGCCTTTATGCTGCGTAGATCACGCACCGCACAATGGTCAACGAGCCAAAGCGCTTTGGCTTTCTCTTGACGTTTTCACAGTCCTCATGTATATGCAAACCCAACGAGCCCATCCGTGCTATCGAATGCGAAAGCATGGGGGGAGTAGCAGAGGAGAGCGTCATCAAATGAACATAATCCTGTGGACCAGAAGCGTAGAAAACCTAGTGTTTTGTGAATGCCTGCAGACGTTCCGGCGTAAACGGCAAACTTTGGTTATCTCACTGCAAATTGTGTTGTGGACTCTTTCTCAGTGATTACCATTTTTCGTTCCACGGACGCAAGTCGACCTCGTGCGTCCACGCCGACTTGTGCTGGTGGTGAATCTGCACGTACGTTTTGGCGATTTCTTCAGGGCGCAACAACCCTAGTCCAGACCGACACCATGACCACCGACGACAACTTGCCCGCTCGATGGAATACCGTCGACTTGCTGAAATTCCTTGGCCTTGGGAAAGTTTTCGTGGATCCACGGCGTGTCGATCGCGCCGTCAATCACGATATGGGCGACGTGGATGCCCTTGGGCGAGAGCTCGCGCGCCATGCTCTGCGAAAGCGCACGCAGCGCAAACTTGGCGCTCGAAAACGCCGAAAAGTGCGCACCACCGCGGACACTGGCCGTCGCCCCTATGGCAAGACGTGGCTACAAGCACCCATATAGGAATCATGCAGGCTACCTGTAAAGAGAATCGTGCCACGGCCGCGCGGCAGCATGCGGGCCGCGGCCTCCCGGCCCATGAGAAAGCCCGAGAAGCACGCCATCTCCCACACCTTGCGGTAGACGCGCGACGTCGTCTCTGCAAGAGGATGATATACATGGGACCGATTTCTCAACGACGACATACCCGTGATGGGGAAGCGAACGTTGGCACCGACGTTAAAGACAGCAACTTCGATCGGGCCCAAACGGCTCTCAATGTCCTCGACGAGCGCTTGAACGTTTTCTTCGACACGGCAGTCAACGCCAAAGCCCTCGGCGGCGAGGCCCTCGGCGGCCATCGTCGCGGCGAGCTCCTTGGCCTTGTCGGCGTCGCGCCGCACACAGCAGGCGGTGAAGCCGTCGCGGGCAAAGGCCTTGGCAATCTCGGCGCCCGTGCTGTCGCCCGCGCCGACGACGAGCACGCACTTGCGCGCGTCCGTGTGGACACAGCGGGCCACGTGCTGCAGTCGGTTGCGCCACATTCTATTGCGATCTTGGACTGGCGGCCCTGTTGACACGACGGTCGCTGCGATGCCATTGGCCAAAAAGGAGCCAATCCACATCGTTGACGCTGTCGGCAAGATGCGAATCCGCGCCTGTGCACCGTCCAGTGCGCTCCAGTATGCGCTCCACGGTGGCAGGTCAATGTACAAATCGTCTACTACTCGATAGACATGTTGTCCATCGGAGCAGGTGCTCGTCGAATGCTGTTTTGGGCTTGTCATTGTGGCTGGATGACGCCCTGCCACCCCAAACAGGTGAGCACCATCAACACGCATCAACACGACGGCTGGGTAGCCTCACTCCACACCCGGGACACGCCTCCAACGCAATTCAAACGTCCGCTTTGTGGATGCGTAGATAGGTACTGGGGTCGCATTCTACTTCATCGCCGCCAGCAAGCAGCGACTTTCCAGCTGCGCGTCCGAGTACGTCGCAGGTGATTGGCGCGTCGACAGCGTCCTACGCCAGTATTGCATTCACTTTGATGTATACAATATTGTCTATCATCGTATACAGGAGACGAGCGTCTCGAGACATCGTGGCGCGCCCCGAACCATGTTGGGTCCGACGTCGGGCGGAAAATCAGCATTTAGCGCCGTGTGATTGGCTGTTTATTGGCCAATGAGACGCCGCAACTGCCAAATCCAGTGCAGATGGGATCGCATGTTCATTGGCTCATTGCAAGACGGACCTTTTGAGTGGTAAGTGGCGGTGGCAGGCCGCGATGGCTCATGGCGGCGGCTAGGACGAGCATGGCGGACGAAGAGAAGAAGGTGATTGTGGCCGACGACGTCGAAGAGAACGACGAGGAAGAGGACGATGCCATGGACGGCGGCGCCGACGCGGGCGCGGCCAAGAAGAAGAAGAAGAAGAACAAGAAGAAGAAGAAGAAGTCCGCGGGCTCGGCCAGCGCGGGCACGAAGCTGCCGCCCTTCCGCGGTGTCGACGGCTATACCGACAGCTACATCAAGTACGGCCAGACCGAACCGCCGACGATTCCTGTCGCCAAGCTCTTTGGCGCTGGCTCGTTCCCCAAGGGCGAGGAGCAGAACCACCCGGGCGACTTCAACACGTACCGCACGACGTCCGAAGAGAAGCGCGCGCTCGAACGCGTACGTCCATGATCCTTGTGTTTGGCACGGTGCTCATGCCTGTGCAGGAAGGCGAGGCGTTGTACGACCGCATGCGCTACGCGTCCGAGGTGCACCGCCAAGTGCGCAAGTTTGCCCAGAGCATCATCAAGCCCGGCATTCGCCTCATCGACATGTGCGAAGCGCTCGAGAACAAGAACCGCGAGCTCGTCGAAGAAGCCGGCTTTGCGGTACATCTCCATGTCGCCATCAACCGGTACCTTACCGAGCATTAGCGTGGCATCGGCTTCCCCACGGGCTGCTCGCTCAACCACGTCGCGGCCCACTATACGCCCAACGCCGGCGACGACACGGTCCTCAAGTACGGCGACGTGATGAAGATCGACTTTGGCACGCAAGTCGACGGCCGCATCATCGACTCGGCGTTCACGGTCGCGTTTGACCCGCAGTTTGACCCGCTCCTTGCGGCCGCCAAGGCCGCGACGGAAGAAGGTATCAAGTGCTCGGGCATTGACGCACGCCTTGGCGAGATCGGCGGGGCCATCGAGGAGGTCATGGAGTCGTACGAGGTCACGATCGAAGGCAAGACGTATCCCGTCAAGTGCATTCGCAACCTAAACGGCCACTCGATCGGCCCGTACCAGATCCACGCAGGCAAATCGGTGCCGATCGTCAAGACGGCCGAAGACACCAAGATGGAGGAAGGCGAGATCTTTGCGATCGAAACCTTTGGCTCGACCGGCCGCGGCTACGTCGTCGAAGACATGGAGTGCTCGCACTACGCCAAGGCGTTCGATGCGCCGCACGTGCCGCTGCGTCTCCCGCGCGCCAAGAAGCTTCTCTCGCACATTACGCGCACGTTTGGCACGCTGCCGTTCTGCCGGCGCTGGATGGAGCGCGAGGACGGCGGCTCGACGCACATCAACCCCAAGGGCGCCAAGCAGGAAAAGTACATGGTCGCGCTCAAGAACCTCGTCGACAATGGCATCATCACGGTTCTCTTTCATGTGAAGTGAAACCCACTGACATTGTATACGTAGGCGTACCCGCCGCTTTGCGACGTTGTCGGCAGCTACACGGCGCAGTACGAACACACGATCATCCTCAAGTACGTTCTGCTGCTCACATATGAGTGCTCACGCAACGGTGTAGGCCGACGTGCAAAGAAATCGTGTCGCGCGGTGACGACTACTAGTGACGCTAGCGCTACATTCCGCCCATCAAGCTTCCTAAATACACTGTACGCTGTACAACTGTCTTGCCTTCTACCAACAAGGTGGGCACCACAAGCATCGGTGGATCGCTCGTGTACGCAGGAAGTTCCGTGTCCAACCGTGGCACGACAAACTAGTAACATCGAGGAGGACCCTAACCCTGCACCGTCATCGTGAGAGGGGGAGGAAGAAGAGGGAGCTTCCTTCATGCATTAGGCTTGCAACTTCGGTGGTTGCGAATGAAGACGGGGACCGGAAGTGGCCGCCCAGTCGTTGCGCCAATGACGACGCTCTCTGCAAAGAAAGCAATAGGCTAATATCAAAACGACGGACCGTCATCGTACAATACTCGTATGAGACTATCGCAATTGGTGCTGGAGCGCGGCCACTTGTCGCTCGAGACGCTGTTTGCTGCGGATCGCGTCGCTGTACTTGAACTTGAGGTCCTCAATCTCTTCGAAAAAGTCTAAGTCGAACGCCGAGAGCTCGTCCGAGAGCTTGGCGTTCTCTTCCAAGAGCTGCGCGTTGTGCTGCTCGAGCGACCGCACCAACTCGTCGTTGCCTACTCTACGATCAGCTCTCATGTCTCACTGGCTACGTACTGGGTTGGCGCGCAAGCGCGTCGAGACGGCGGTCCTTCTCGTCCAGCGCGTTTCGCAGCGCGCTCTCGTCGTCTCGGAGCGTCTTCCATTTGCCGTGGAGCGTCCGGTACTTGCGCTGCAGCTCGGCGCTCTCGGCACTGAGCCGCGCAATCTCGTGGCTTTTTTGGTCGAGCTGCGTCTGCAGCGTCGACACCAGCGCGTCAGGTGTCTTGGTGGCCGATGGCTTTGCTGGCTTGAGACGGCGAAGACGGTCGTTCTCGGTCCGGAGCTTCTCCATCGCCCGCTTCATGTTTTCGATCACATCTTCGAGGGCGGCGACGTCCGCTCGGCTCTTGTTGGTCGTCGTCGGTGTCTACGCACGTTCGAGCGACCGAATATGAGCCAATGACAACGTACGCGGGCAGGGGATGGCGTCATGGGCGGCGTCCGATTTGGTGCACGCCGCAGCCGCGCGAGCTCCAAGCTCAGACTCTCGACTTGGAACGAGAGTTCGAGGAGCTGCGTGTCCTTCTCCAAGAGTGCTTTTGCCGCGTCGCTCGCGTCGTCGGGCAATTGCAGCGCCTGGCGCGAAGTGAGAACTTGCGCTTGAAGTTCGCGAATGCGCTCGTGGCAGCTCTCAAGCTCGCGTTCTTGGTCGAGCGATATCTTGGGAATGCTGTGTGGCAGTGGCGCGGCCCGCACTTGCATCAACTAGGCCAACTCAACCCAATGCCACATCGGGTTGGCGTACCTGCTCGGCTTGGGTCGAGAGCTGACTCTGCGCGCGCGTCCATTGCTCCTTCAAGCGGTGGCATTGCGTGGTGAGCGTATCGACCTCGGCCTTCTTCTCTTCGAGGCGAGTCGTGAGCACTTCGACCCGGCGCTTCATGCGTTTTTCGTTCTCCCACTGCTTGCGCGTCGTCTCGTCATTGTTGTTGTTGTTGTTGTGACTGGTAGTGGCATTGGGGGGCGCCATCGTAACGACCGGCGTCGCTTCCCGCAGCGCTGCGTTTTGGGCTTCGAGGACTTTGATCTTCTTTTGCAGCTCGAGAAGCTGGTCGTCTTGGGCCGCGTACGTCCCGAGCTTGGCTTTGCAGCGCTGCAGCTCATCCCGGAGCGTCGCCAGCGCTTGTTTCATGTCGTCGGTCGGTCGTGCGAGCTGCTTTTGGGCGATCGCTTGGGCGCGCTTGGCCTTGGACGTCATCGTCGCTAGCTCAGCGGTCGTCGCTTGCAGCTTTTCTTGAAGCATTTGCGTCTTGGCCGCTAGCTTCGTGTTGGCGTCTTGCAGTGCGGAGACGCGGTCGTCGTCCCGCTCGTGTCGCTTGGAGGTTGCGCGAACAATCTCTTCGGCCTGCGCCTCCTGCGCTTTGAGAAACTCTTCCTTGAGCTTGATGATCGCGTCTCGGAGGAGACCCATCTTGCGCTCTTTGCTACCGATTTCGTGCCGAAGATGGGCAAGCTGCGTCGTCTTCTCGCGCTCCATCTCGTCAAAGTCGCTCGACAGCGCCGCGTGGAGGGCCTTGAGCGCCGCAATCTCCTCGAGCGCTTCGCCGGCGCGGGCTTCGGCCACGTGGCGCTGGTTGAGCAGCGTCTCGACCTTGTGCTGGAGCTCCGAAATGATGTTTCTCTTGAGCTCGAGCTCCATATGGACTTGCTTAAGCTGCTCCAGAAGCCCTTCGTGCATCTCGCGCGCCGCCACAACCGCACGGCCGCCACCCTAGTCCAATCTCTCTAAAATGGACAAGGTTTGTCCAGAACTACCGTTTCCTCAAGGTGCCGAATCTTCTCGGTGGCTTCTTTGAGCTGCGTAATGTGCAAATGGTTGTCTTCGTAGAGCCGGCGGTTCTGGCGCTCGACTTCCTCCTGCACATCGGACGCGCGCTTGTCCATTGCTGCGCGCATCGCTTCAAATTTTGCTTGGTACTCTTCGATGCGCGTGTTCTTGTCCGCGACGAGCGCCTTCAAGCTTGCAATCGTCGCCTGCGCGGCTTGCTGCAGATCGGCTTGGTCCTTTTCATAGTACCTACAGAGGACTTTAACTTGGAACATTGATAGATTTCGCACGTACCCGACTTTGGAGCGCATGGATGGCGAACTCGGCGCGGTGCCCAATGGTGCGACTGTCGTAAGCGGTGCGACGTGCTTTTGCTGAAGCTCCATGATCAAGCTCTCGACGCGCAATTCGAGTTGGCGAATCTTGTGGTCGCGCTCTGTCACCTCCTTGCTCGTCGTCTGCATGCGTTTCTGAACCTTGTCCATCTCAAACAAGGTCGCGTCCAGCTGCGCCTGGAGTGCTTGCTTCTCTTGTACGAGCCGCTCGGAGGGAAGCATCGCGGTCGAGGCCTTGGCAGCATCCTCGAGCTGGGCCAACAGCAGCCTACATCTTCGTGGAGCAGGAGATACACGTCAAAAGCACGTACGTTTCTCGCTGCTCGAGGACTTGGACGCGGTATTTCAGTCGCTCGACGAGGTGGATGTCGGCGCCCAGAACGCCCGGCCCGACGACCGCGTCGTGCTCCGATTCGAGCTCTTCGATGCGCCGCTCGAGCTGGCGGTTCTTGACGTGGACAGCAGCGAGGTCGTCGTCAAGTGCTTCGAGGCGCGATGCCATTGCATCCAAGCGTTTGATCTTGGCGACCACGTCCGACGCTTGCAAATGGGCAACCGTCGACTCGAGAACCGCAATGCGCTGACGCTGCGTCTCGAGCTGCCCCGCGTAATGATTCGACGTGTGTTCGAGCTGCATCGACAGCGTATTGATCTGGAGCTGGGCCGCGCGCTGGGCCTCCACCGCTTGCTCGTACCTAGTACATTTCGCGTGAGCCTTCTGACAAGCAACTCAGAAAGGGATGTGCACCGATCCGCAAAGGCTTGGTAATTAGCCTTGATGCCGACGATCTTTTGCTGCAGCTGCCCGATGATAGCGTCATCGTCGGAGCGCGCGCTGAGCTCGTGAAGCCTTGCTTCAAGCGCATCGATTTCGTCTCGGCGCCGCGTCTGACGCAGCGCGAGCGTGTTGGCCTGTGACGCAGCCAGCGTCGCCACCTCCTTTTGTTTGTGCACCTATTTTCATATACATTCATAGATACATCCTCCTACGAGACTCTACCTGACGCTCCAACGACCCGCAGAGCTGCTCGAGCTCGGCAATGCGCTGCTCGTAGACGTCGTGGACGTTGGTGCCAGACGGTGCTGGCTCGGGCGTCGTCTCGGGCAAGCCTGCTTCGAGCTCCTTGAGGCGCGCCAGCTGCGACTGCACTTGAACTTCAAGCGCTTGGATACGTTCGTTCTGCAGCTTGTCGATCGACTCGCCGTTCAGGCGCGCGAGAAGCTGTGCGTTTTGATGCAGCAGCGCTGCGTGCTGCGCTGGCAAATCGAGCGTCGCGAGGTAGTGCGCGTGGCGGTCCGTGTACTTTTCCAAGAGCGCTGCGTGCTTGGTCTGGAGTCGCTGGAGCTCGGCGAGGACGCCGTCGTAATGGCGCTTGAGCACACTCTTGGTCAGTGCCGTCTCCATGTGCTGAAGCCGACCCATCGCGCCTATGAATAGTATCAATGTATCAAGCATATTTGAGGTCATCGTACCCTCGCGCCACGCCTCGAGGTACTGGATGCGCACCTTGAGCGTCTTCTCGAGGGAGAGGAGGTCGTCATCGGCAGCAACGCGGCGTGTAAACTCCGTCTGCTTCTCTTCCCGCACCAAGTTGAATTCGCGGGCGAGCCGCGCTTGGTTGACTTCGAAAATGGCCACTTGCCGCGTGAGCGACACGACCGTCTGCTGCACCTCGCCTTCCTTCTCGAAACTCTGCAACATGAGCTCGTACCTACGACCCTTTGTGCCTTGTGCAGCACAAGCCAAGGAGTACCGATTCAGCTTGATGGACGCTTCGTCGACGTTGGCCGTCATGGTTGCAAGCTGCGCTTCCAGCGACGCCCGGCGCTCGGCGAACGTTTGCTGTAGCGCAATGTGCTCGCTACACAAAGCATATACGACATGTAAGGAGGCGACAATGCGGTGAATGTACCGGTAGAGCACCGTGTGGTTGTCTTGGACGCTGGTCAAAAGGCCTTCGAACGCCTCGAGCTTGCTGCGGAGGCTGTGGTTCTCGAGCGTCACGTGTGTGAGTTCGTCCAAGCACGTATCCAGCTCGATCGCCCACTGCGTCTGCTCTTCCATCTCGTCCTGCGTCTCGAGAACCACGTGGCACAGTCCCTTCTTCTCCGGCGTTGCTGCCTCCTTGTGCGTTGGACGATGCAAGCCGCGGGCTTCGAGCGCCTTGGAGACAGCGGCGGCAATCTCGTCGGCCGACGGCGGTAGCTCTTGCAGCACGACGCTTGCGGGCGACAAGAGACCCGACGTGTGGACGCTGGCGTGCTTGGTGAGTCGTGGAGGCTCCAACACAGTCTCGTCTTGCGTCGGCGGCGGCGCACTCATGTCGCCGTCAAGGTCCCCAAACTGCATGCTCTCGTCGCTACTCTCGTCGTCGGACGCGACTGCTGCCTCGCGCATGACCTATACAGCATTGGTATCAATGTATCAAGCCAGGATCTAGAAAGCCTGCATTTGCATTACCTGCATGTGTTCGCGCATATGGCTTTGCAGGGCCTCGGTCGCACGCCACACTTCGTCTTTGACGGTGGTCGCCCACTCAGGCGGATTGTCTGCGGGTGCATGACTCGACGCGGCGACGACCGCCGAGAGCCGAGCGACGTCGGCTTGCAGCTGCGTGTTGGCGTCGTACAGCTTGCGTAGCTCTGCGCTCGGGTCTTTCGCCGGCGACGACGGACGCGGCGGCACTGCGTCGTCGACCGTGTCGCCGTTTTGCAGCCGGTAAATGAGCTGTTGGACTTGATCGTACTGCGCACTGGTCAGTCCGTGCTGCGCAAAGAGGTGGGCTCCCGTCTTCTTGGCTTGGTCTTTGAGCTTGGTGAGAAGCGTAACACGTTCATCTTCCAGAGCGGTCACTTGGGCTTCGAGCTGGTGGATGAGCGCGAGGTTGCCTTGAACGCTCGTCTCCAGAACCAGATCTGGGTACTCGAACTCGTCTGGCTTGCCCGCGTCACCTACGCAGATGTATAAAGATAGGGTCTACAGACACAGGAACGGTCGCACGTTTGAGCCGGGCAAACGCAGCTTGGAGCTTGGAGATGGCGTCCTTGTGGCGACTGAGCTCGACGCGCAGCGCCGCATTCGCGCTCTCTTGCGCGGTCAAGTCACTTCGGAGCTTCTTCTGGTGCCGAACGACGTCGGTCAAGCCGGCCTTGGCTTCGTATTTGGCATTCCACGCCTCGGCTTCCCGGCACTGCGACTCGATCGCGACACAGCGCGCCTCCATGTCGGTGAGGAGCCCGCGCTGTTCCTTGACACGAGCTTTCCAGACGTCGACGTCACGAAGCGCGTCCTGCGTCTGCTGCCGCTGGCTCTGCACCGTCGCCTCGAGCTGCTTGATCGTGTCTTTTGGCACAAAACTCTCGGCCATTGTGCTCAAATCGACATTCTTTTGAGAAATTTTGGCTTTGAGTTCGGCGATCGACGCCTTGTCCTGGAGTCGCATGTCTTGCAGCACGAGGATCTTGGCCTCGAGGTCGCTCAGCGCAGCATCCTTGGCATCGTTCGTCGTCGATGCTGTCGTCGTCGCTGGCGTGCTCGCCTGGTTACCGGATATAGAGTGAGGAGACATGGGGCCGTTGCAACGCACCTCGAGTTCGCGCACCCGCAGCTTCCACTGTTCGAGTTCAGCGTGCAATCCACGCCGCTCGGCGTCAAATTTGGTTTTGAAGTCCGCGATCATCGCGTCCACGTGCGCTTCGGCCGCGTCCATCTCGAGGATCTTGCGCTCGAGGCCTTGCTTCTCGGCGTCGTGGGACTCGCTCTTGAGGAGGAGCTCCGTCACCGCCGATGTACGGTCGTCGAGCGCACTAGAGAGTGCCACCTTCTCGTCGTCGGCGACCTGCAGCTTCGCCTCGGCGTCCAAAGCGACACGCGAGAGCTTCTCGACAGCGGTGCGGAGCTCGTTGTTGTCGTCTCGCAGCTGTTCGTTCTCGCGAAGGGCCGCGTAGAGCTCGTCACGTCGGCCGTCGCGGTCGTGCTTGAGGCGCGCGAGCTCGTCGGCTTGCGGAGCACTTGGCTTGGCCACGAGGGTCGCGGCCAGTTGGGCATGGGACGCATCGAGCTTTGCTAGCTGGTCCGCAAGCGCCGCTTCACGCGCGAGCGACGCATCGAGATTGGCTTGGAGTTCAGTAACCATCTGGTTCTGGGGCTCGACTTCATCTTCGGCGATCGTGGCGGCGCGGGCCGTGCGCGGGGTTTGGACCTGCTCGCGCAGGTCGGCGTTCATGGTCTGCAGCGTGGCCACTTGCTGGCTCAGCGACGCCGAGTGCTCATGGAGCTTGTCGTTCTCGAGCTGAAGCTCTTCCACGTCGCGGCGAAGATGTTCGAGCTCCTTCTGGACCGCCGAGCAGTCGGCCCGCGGACAGGGCGATGCCATCGGTCGGTAATATCTTGGACAGCTCCTCTCGTCAATTGGCTGAAAAGGCCGCCGAAAAGACACGCATTTGCACCAATGGCATGGCGCATCGCCATCAGGATGCGAGGTGAAACTAGGAAGTATGTCCTAAATAGGACTATTTTTCTATACATTTAGGTAATATCCTTGTTTTCGCGACACAGTCCATGTTCGTACCGGACTGCACCGTGCCAAGGGACACCAACGAGGGACGCCCTCAACGTTGGGCGCACTGGGCACAGCTCATGGGCGCACTGCGGGTGGTCGCATCATTCTTCAATTTGACGTCTTGTAGCCAGGACCCACTCGCCTCAGACGGCCAAGGTCACCAAAGCCGTTGATGAGCTTTACCACGAGCTCTTGAAGCAGCTCGCGATTGCCGAGGTGAAGCTCGCAGCCGCAAAAGTGATGGAACAGATCCAGCCCGACCAGAAGAAGGCCGCCATGCAACGGGTCGCCGATCTTGAGCACCAGCTGAAGACCGCCGAGGAAGAGATGGACCAGCTTCGCCGCCAACTCAGTTGGCCGGTGGTGGTGTGCGACTTATTGACTCGGGTCTGCAGTGGTTGAGACGTGCGCATCCTTCAAGGCTGTGATCGCGCTTGCAGGTCCCAAGGCGTTTGAGCTACTCCGACAGGACTCCATGGAAGAGCCCTCGATTCTCATCCGCAACAACACAACCCGTTCAATGGGTTTGCGAATGGCGGCTCCGAGAACGTCGCTTCAGCCGGCCGTTCCAAGCGCCCGCGCGACCAAGACGACGACACAATGGCACTCCGTCGCCGCGCCAAGCACGCATTTAGGGTTGGACGTGTATCCCTAGCTTCTTACGGCGAACTTGCATACGTGTTGCATCCAAAATGTTGGCAAGCCAACAAATTTCAACTGTTTTCGCCGCTAATTGGTTGAAAAGGATTCCTCGCGAGCTCGTATTCGTCAAAATGTGACCAATCACCGCTGCTGCCCGCAGAGCCATCTCACATCGTCACATCACGACTGCCCTTTTTGCGCCTTTCAATCCATTGATCTTAGTTTGTCATGGCGCACTCGTATCCTCGGTACGACCCCTAGCCCTAGGCGGGGTAGGGTTCATGGGTTCTAGGTGGAAGTGCGCTATGACGTGCAGTTGGATGTCCCGACGCAGACACAGAGCCGTGTGACGAGCTCCGTCGGTGTTGTGTGGACCCACAGTAGCAAGTTCCAAGCTGGCGTCGACGCAACTGTCGCGGCGGCGGTCCCGGCGGCCATGACCAAACTCCTTGGTTGCATCAAAGCCAATCAGCACGAAGTCGATGACGCCCGCGAGATCCAAAGGCTTCCGCCCCGAGACGACCCCACGACCGCGCTCGTCAAAGCCATCGTGGCCGCCTTGGCGACCGAGCTAATAACTTTTTCATTACAGAATGTTGTTGTTTTATCGAAGAGTGCTATAGCAACAGTCTTGTGCGACTGGATCGCAAGGCAGGAGCTCAAGGCAGGGCGAACGGTGTGTTGTAGAAAGGCCATCATTGTACTCGGCGTTTCTGTCATTTGCCGAGCGCTTGGATGCGTTGTTGTAGACTGCGAGAATGGGGAGAGCATTAACAATGTGAGATTTTGGTATTGACTGAATTAACGCAACTTTAGTGTTTGAAACGACTCTAAAAACACTCAACGCAAAGTATACTCAAACTAAGATAAATGAAACACGCGATTCTGCTCCTGCGTCGATGCTCGCAGGTCGGGTCGGCTTGAAGACCAGGGGTCCGAGGTGCCTTCGGGCATCTTTTGCTTTAGCTCAGCGACTGTGGCCATGGCGCAGGCGCTCAAGGTCGGGCGCTACTTGAGTGCTAACCCGTCGGCCACGATCGAGGACCTCGCACGCTTCGTGCTCACGGACGACAAGCTGCCAACGGAGACGGTCATGA